TTTTAGTTAGAATTTTATTGAGTAAATATGTTGCAGTTTTTAATGCTTCTCCCCAAAGTGATTCAGGTAAGGTAGAATGATTAATCATACTCCTTATCATATCCTTAAATGTTCTGTTTCGTCATTTAGCATCACCATTCATGTTAGGAGAACTTTACATGGTGTACTGTAAGATAACCTTTGGGAATCGAGCAAACGGCCCTAGACACTGTTTACCTGATCCATCTGATCTACCATAGTATTTACCACCATAGTAAGATCTAATAGCTTTAATCCTTTTGTTGAGTTAATTTTTAAATTATACTTTAAAACTTTTGCACACATCTAGAGATTGAGACTTTTCATGAATGAGATATAGGTAGTCATATCCTAAATAATCATCTGTGAACATTATAAAATATTGTTGACAATTCCAAGAAACCGTAGGGAACGATCCACAAATATCTAATACGTTCGTAGCTCTGTTTGCACCTAATCTTTTAATATTTGTATGTTTTCCCTTGATACAACGAACACATCTATTAAAATATAAAAAATCAAGGAGAGAGAGAATTTTTTATGACACAACTCTCTCAATTCTCTTTTGGGAGATGTGACATAATCTTTTGTGCCATAAAGAAGCAGAATTCTCATTGATTAATTTTTTCTTTATACCTCTTATAGCAACATGTAAGGATTCATTATAAAAAATAATTATATCAAGCAAATAAAGATTATCATGCACTGACAAAGAATTAGAACCAACCAAATTTGAATTAAGAAAAAGACTAAATTTTTTATTTTCAAATGAACATAAATAACCAAAATTTTCTAATACAGAAACAGAAATCACATTCTGTCTAAATGACGGTATAATAAAAATCTCTTCTAAATCCAAATAAAATCCAGTACTTAACATTAATATAAATTTGCCAATTGCTTCCACCTTTACTAGTTTGCCATTATCCACATAAATGAATATGACACCATCACTTGGTTTGCAGTAATGGAGGCAACACTACATAGAGACACTGATATTAGTTGTGGCCCCAGAATCTATCCATTAGGTGTGTATTGATACAAAAGTTAAATTAACCTCAATGCAAACAAAATTAAGAAGCATACATTTTTTTGTGCACCACACATGATAGTTAGCACATTACTTCTTTTAGTGTCTCAGAACTTAATAGAAGAAACAAATATTTTCCATCTAAGCCTTTTGTTGCTTCTTATATTGTATTGGAACCTTAATAAATTTACCTGTTTGCTTTTTCTTATTCTTTTTATTCTTGGAGATCACTTCTAAATGAGCACTCTCTGTCCTCTCAGACTTGAGTCTTTCCTCCTCTTGAGCACATGTGAAATGAGTTCATTCAGATTTTATGATTCTTTCTAATAGTTGTATGTCACCTTAAAATGATTAAATTATGGTAAAAGAGAAATTAAAACAAAGTACACAAATACTTCTTTTGACAATTTCACTCTAAGTGCTTTGAGCTTTGCATGGACATGTGACATCTCCATTATGTGCTCTCTAATGTCTCTATTTCCCTTATACCTAATGGAAACAAAAGTCGAATGAAATATACATACTTCGACCGTATCACTTCTGGAGAATTGTTATTCTAGAGAATGCATAAAATCTCTAACTATTGTGATCTCATCGGACATAGTGCCTAAAAAACCTAAGGAATGGTCTATTTCATAACCAACATATTTATACGGTTTGATCGATCTCATCTTTC